GGCGTTTTATAAAAATATCATACGAAATATCATCCATTCCCCCTGAACGTGACACGGCCAATAAATCCCATAATGGTGTCGTAAAATTCGGCGGTATTATCTTGGGAAAAGCCGGGCTATTTTACATTCACCTGCGAGGTTTCCCTCCGCAACCAATTTATGTTAGTGGGCACAAAACGAACGCTGACAAATGTGAAATAACGTGAACATACGTTTTATCTGTAGGCCTGAAGTCGGTTAGCAGGCGCAGCGGAGGGCGCGGAGCCGGAGGGGGGAGGTGGGGGGTCGTGCCTCTCATCAAGCCTTCAGTTTCGCGACGAATCGGCTAGCCTTGTCGGTATTTTAATAAGCCTGGAGCTGAACCCATTTACGTCAGCTTTCACTTTTATTCCGTTTTGATTTTAACAGTTTATTTATAAAATAAATACCTTCTTCCTATATAAAATAAATCCTTCTTAAAATTTTAAACTGATAACGATATAATAAATTTTTGTTTTTCCGATAGCACTTATATTCATTTTTAAGAAAATCGTATACTTCAAAAATAAAAAAATTGTTTTTAACCATTCTTTTAGTAGTATACCAATAAATAACCAAAGCATTACTGTTAAACAAGACATATATTTTTATAGTTTAATCTCTCATTCCAAGCATCTTTACGAATACTCATACAAAAATAAGATAATTAGGTACAACATTAAGAGATAAATTTGATAACAAATTAATAGAAAATTTTAAATAACAATAAAAATTTAAGTGTATTATAGTTCAACGGTATTATTAAATTAAATCACTAGAGACGAATGAAGACGAAAGATAAGGTTTAGTCTTTTTGTGCAAAACAACTTTAAGAGCTTTTATTTGTACAATCCTTAAGATGCAAAGAACCGCTGCAGTTTGTAGCTGACATTTATTATGGAAACGTCTTAAAAGCGTCTCTGGACTTTCCAACCACTCGCGTAGTTCCTACTTAGGTGTATACGGCGCAGTACGGCTACGGACGAAACTAAGTGGAACTTTGCTCAGGTTGCTATATATAAAAAGAATTTTTAAGGATACTAACGGTTCCCTGCACCGAATTCTTTTTTCGTCGGAAACAACGTTTGCAACCCCAATGGTAGAGGGGTTCACTGATTTTATTTCGTTTGCTCTGTCTTAAACATACTAAAACGTGCAAAAGTTTGAACTTAGATGTTTAGCTTCTTATATATTAACCGATCAGAGGAAGAAAATTCATTGATTCTTCCTTTCTGTAAATACCAGTACGTGTTTCTATTTTTCTGTAACCCCAATTCTTTCATTTTACAGCATACTTCAAATAAATCCAAATCCCGTCAGTTATATGAAATATATTTTAATTAAATTTTATTTAATAAATATGCATATATATTTCACTATATGAAATCATGCTTAAAAACTAAGCGTACAGATTGTGCGAGTCGAAACGTTGCATTGAACTCTCTTAGCATTAGCAAAATTGAGTTTACACACGTTAATGTTTCAAGAGTATTCTCCTGCCAATAATAGGCTTCTTCAAAGAGGACATGCATTAATTATAGCACAACACCGATGGTTGAATATAGTAAACGACTTGGATATATAACACTGATGCCTGTCATCGTGCGAAACGGTTAATCATCTGCCCGTCGGAGGCCACAAGATTATTTTGGCTTCTGTCGTAGTGCCTTCGTACGATACCCACGAGACAAAATGGAGCGAGACAAAATTCTCTCCCGCCATTTTGTCAGCATTGTTGCGCAAAGCGTCGCATTTACCGTACCCGTAACTCAGCGTTAGAACAAGTAAGCCGCAAATTGACGCCCCTACGCTTACATAATTTGTAGGCTTAAGAGTCGAATGCTGCGAAATGCACTATGAAACGACAACTGCTCTATTACTTATGAGGTAAAAATCATCCAAGGATTACGTATACAAGTTCATATTTATATGATACGTTTAAATAAAATAAGATGCAATATTTTTTTACTTTTAAACAAGTAAAAAATTATGATGCATCTTTACTTATTTTAAGTGTAATCCTGAAGTGTTTATATTATATTTAAGAGGAAATTTTTGAAATTATACTTCTCTTGGAGCGTTTGTAAAAAAAATGAGAGTAAAGTATTTAGGTGTGCGCAAACCGACATGCAAAAAGCGACATAATGAAGTCATCTTCGACATCAGTCGTCATGACAGAAATTCGACCAACTTCACGGTATTACCATGGCCAGCAATAAGAACCTTTTGACATTTACCTATAATTAAAAAAAAGTTTAAATCATTATCAATTGCATTTACGTCCTTTTCACAAACAAAGAGTACCGGCATAGGGGATAAAATTTTTAATTATTTTCCTTTTGTTACGCTAAAAAAGTATAATTAACTTCTTACGTACGTACAATAAGTACACACATAATTTTTTTATTTGTCTACAGGCAATACAGAGATATAATTTTAAAAGATATGTTGCCAGCTAAGCATCGAACGATAACCAGATACCTAACATGCAAAAATTGTAGAACCAAAAATAAACTCAAGTGCATTAAATATAATCTTCTATTTTTACGCTATGACCATAATTAATTATATAATTTACCCTATGTCTCTCCCACAACTCAGAATACTCTAATAACACCTCAAAGTTGAACACCGTCAAAAGGTTTAAGCTTTAGAGCGTGCTAAAGAATTATAAATATACATCATACATACATACAAATATACACTAGAAAAACATTACACTTCTTCGGTAGTCGGGTAAAAATTAATGTTTTCTCTAAAACATATAAGCATAGGTACAAATTAAATTAGTGCCATAAATAACATGCAACTAAAATTTTGTGATATTTTGAGTAAATGATAATGATTTTACGGGTTTTATCGTGTTTCATTTGTAAATTACAGTATTTTGTCAATGACTTTTATCAATAAGGCGGATATTTACCACGATTCATCAATTAACTTGCTAATTATTTTGTTTAACAAAACCATTTTGTGACCGATTACTTGAAAGTCAAATATATTATAGCAAATAAATGTTTCCTTTTACATATAATGTATTCAAAAATCTTTTTCCGCATACCGCTTACTTCTTGTCAATGATAACCTAGCGGAATGTATTTCTTATGAGGCAAATATACGAGTTTTTAAAAAAAAAAATTAAATATTCCGTAACAATTAAAGAAAGTTAACGCATTGTAAGAGCTAGTAAACAAATTTCAAGGCGTCTCTTATCCATACCCAAAGGGTAACACGGACCCTATTAATAAGACTTCGATGTCTGTCTGTCAGTCTTTCACCAGGCTGTAGGTATCTCATGAACCGTGATGGTTAGACAGTAGAAATTTTCACAGGTGATGTATTTCTCTTGCCGCTATAATGAAAAATTCTAGAAAACAGAATAAAAATATTCAAGCGGAGCTTCCATACATCAGAATTTTCTTGCCGTTTTGTGGATTGAACCTAACCTTCGCGCGAGTCCGACCACATTTTTAAAGCATATTCCAGTTAAAATTGAATAGGGTCGGATGTAAAGTATAAACAAAAATAAGCATAAAAGATGAAAATATTCGCGTTTTCAGTCACAAAATGGACAACGAAACAAAACACAGATACACGAACAATGCTCCAAATTCAAAGTCAACCGGCGGTCGTCCGCGATAGCATCGTGCTCCCAATTTACGTAGGGATGGAATGATAATGAGAAACAACAGGCGACATTTAATACAGGTGCGCGGCTGTGCACTGTACACGGCACACGTATGTGACATAGAGCCCGGGGCGTAGACGATAACCGCGCGTATCGTAAAACTCGCTACCTCGCGCTCGCCACCCCACAATTTGTCACGGCGAAAGTTTACAACTCCTGATATGATGTACCTGGGAAACTCATCGGTACGTACCCACTAAGCTTATCTTGTTCATTCGTTAATTTATCGTATTGTAATCGAGTATATTCAAAATGGGTTTTGAAATTGTGAAGATCACAATTTCAACGTAACAATTGCAAAATGATATGATCACAATTCATTATTTTTTTAACTAATAACTATGAACATAATTGTGTTGATATAACATTGCGACTGAGGTTATAACGTTCTGCTTTCGGCCAACTTTAATTAATATTTCCATTCAAACGTAAAACAGGCATTTCAACGGTATGGTTGAGAAAAATCTCGAAAACCAATAAAGCGTTTTAAAAATACGGGGTCAAACAAAATTGCGGGGCGTTTATTTCGCTCACTTTTTCATCTGCATTAATTTACTTTAATAATACAAAAGTGCTTTAGCGCCCGGTGAGCTATTTCCCATAGTCCCAGAGTAATTACACGGCGCGGCTCACAAAGGCCGCTTGGGCGATCGCGGCGTCGAAACGGACGCCCGCCCGCCGCCTGAGTGCTACCATTTATGCGTCGCCATGCCCCTATAACTATGTTACTGACGCCAATGAGTTTCCCGCCTGAAACTGTGAAATCAAACGATTTTTACATGCGTTGAGGCGCGCATTAGTATATTCAACACGACCGGACCGAGTTGGAGGCATTCGTTGATCGTATGTCGGGTAGAATAGTTTGTATGTGTTCTTACTTTAGTGTACGCGTAACACAAGGTACCAGCTAAGTCTTTCCTGTTATTTCAACTTACTTCAACAATGCGTTCTGTGTTCTCTTAATAAATATTTCTTACGAATTTCATTATTAAAATATTTGCAGCTTCTAGCTACATCGCCAGTCATCAATCGCTAATTTCACAACCGTTAACCTGACGTCGGACAAGAGATGGAGTGAAACATATATTTTACATATGCATACATGTTTAATGTAAACGTTGCAAACGTTGAAGTGACGAAAATTGAGCGATTTGCGTATAAACGATTCGGGAGTAAAATTTAATAACACCCGCATGAGAGCAGTGTACATAAGATGCTCGCGTCTAGTTTGCATAGCGCGCCCGCCGCTAGCCTAATGAAGCCGTAAAGGAACGTGAATAGGCAAACTGACACCATGCACCGCGCAGCTGCTGTTGTTATCCTGATCACACACGAGATTGTGCTGCACTCGTACACGCTTATTGGAGTTCTCTCGCGTTTCCTCGCTCGACGTACTGAGGTAATTAGGGAACTCGCTGAATAATAACAGTCACACCGAGACGTAGAAATGAGTAGAGAGAGACGCGACACCACAACACGAACTCACAGAAGACCGATGTGAAGTGGAAGTAATTCTGCTTTACGTCTGGTGAGTGAGGTAGCCGGGGCCCACTTTATTATAAAGTGACAATGCACCAGCACCTGCTGTAAGAGTGTTGCCAATGTCAAAAAGACATTATTTACAAGTTAAACAGCTACTCGATCGTGTTATTTAATGTAATATAGGTGACAAGCAAGCAAGCTCCCTCCCTCCTATGTTTAGTGTTCACGGCCGCCTACAGCACTTGTAGCAGATACGATGTCAACCTTTAAAAGGTGGCCTCAGTTACCTCACTCACCAGTTAATAGACAAAAGTACTATACTTTTATTTCATAACGGTCTTCTGCGAGGGAATAGTACTCCACTGCACCTACCAGCCCTTTCACGTAACAGCAGATGCTGCGTAGCCATACCAAAGTGAAACGATAGTAAGACGTATAAGATAAAAGTCAAGCTATGTTTATAAAGTTGCCGTTATTTGGAGAGTTAAAAACAATTTATAAAGATGTTATGTTATGGCTAACTGGTATTACGAAGAATCGTATCAACGTACCGACACCGTATTCCACGTGCAGGTAAAGAGAGAATCTGTGTAAACGCTAAATCGGCACGCGAGCAGCACGAGAGTACGGCACTCCGGGGAACAACTGAAAAGCACATTCAGATCACGGCGCTATGTAAAGCGGCGGATGAGTTCGGTGTTCGTGCGATGGCCCCCGCGCTGCCCGCCGCAGTCCGCACTTATAATCTAATATTCGCAATTTACGAGGTTCGCGGAAGGGGCCCGTAGGGGGCCGTAGCGCTGTCATCGCGACGGCGTACCTGCCCGCTGCACTTACGCCGACGTTAAGTCTATCGTTTCGCCTTTTTATGTTTTTACGACGCCAATGTTAACGTACCGTCGAGGATCGCTCATACGTTTTTTGGAGCGCACGTGGAAAAGAGTGGCTGCGGCACACCGGAATTCTTTTCACGTAAATGTTTTTAAAAGAAAAACTACGCAACGTAGCATACATTTACAGTTTTTCTTTTAAAACATATAAGTGGGCTTCAAACTTTCTAACGATACTGTGCTGCAAATAACACTTTAAACAATTTTAAACATAAAAGCACTACATAAAATAAAACTTCCTCCCATGATGGGGAAAAATCTTACAGATTACTCAAAGGAGGGTCATTGGATGTGAAAGTGAACACCCGCGAAACGCCATTGTGCACAAAGCCCATAGAGGATTTTGATACACTTAAGGAAATCTTTAATATCCGTCGAGATCAGCATGACAAAAATACAGAATTTCGATTTTGTGTATAATGGGTAATTTTAGTATTCTCCAATTAAATTTCATTAGACACACGATAAATATTAATAAGGTGACGCGTAAAAAAACATTTGAGCTGGGGAAATAAAAGGCGCTGACACACAAGCCTCAAGTCGTAAGTATCTAAAACAAATTTCAATGCGACTTGAGCAAACAATAAGTCGTCGTGGCCATTAACGGCATTCAGTCGAAGCCCCACCGAAAGCGGTTCTTACAGCAGCTCCTCGGTCCAAATTGTAACTCGGAGCCCGGGGCGGGGGAGGATCTATAAATTACTGAAACGACAACTCGTTCCACGCCAGATAAAGCCCTGCCACAAAACAATGCTCCGGACGAATGCTCCACTCGTTACTCGAGAAAATGGTATCTTTATGAACTGTTAACTTAGCAGAAATTCAGACTATGCCCCGAAGTTTTAAATACGTCTGTGCCATTATTAGGCATTTTTTTTATACATTTAGATGTGAAAATAAGATTTTAATACGATTTTTGATAAAACTAACATAATCTTGTAATTTCTTCGTTAATATATGTGTGCGTGCGTTCTTGCGTGCGTGCGTGCGTGCGTGCGTGCGTGCGTGTGTGTAAAAAATGTGTATGTTCTTATGTACGCACGTAAGAAGTTGTACCTACTTCTTTAGCGTAAAAAAAGAAAAATAACTAAAAATTTTGTGTCGATTGCTCTTTGTTTAGGAGACTTTAAATGCCAATTATAACGGTTATAACTTGGAATTATTGATGAATGTCAAAAAACTGTTTCTTTCTTTAAATCTCTAGAACTGGTCAAAGGTTCCTGTACTTTTTTTCTTTGAAAGTAAGCTATATAATCCTGCTAAAGAAATAATAAGTACATTTTCTTTCTCAATTTTAACGTTTATCGAATATTTATTAAATCTCAATGTTAATAATAATTTTATTATATTACGGATTTTATTCAATTTCATGTATTCCCAAATTCTGTCTCTACAATCTGTCAGTCAATCTGTCCGGTGACCATGGATGACGTGTGTTGACGTTGATATAAAAACCAAACATAGTAAACGTTATAAACTTCCGTAAAATAGTTTTTTTAGCAACTTGGATTTCTTTACACGCGAAAAGCTGTGGTCTTGGAACTTAAAATACATGACGCACAAGTTTGTGTTAAATAATCTCATTTAAAGTTTCTAACTAATAAGAAACCAAGCAAAATAGCTGCCTGTCAGTGCTTTTTTCCAAGACGTGAAGAAAGTGGCTTAGACGTGGTAAAGTTTACATTACATTACAAACTACCAATGGTAGATTTTTCTTGTTCCGTTTTCAAAGTCGACTTTAAACAAAATTCGAGTTAAAAAAATATGCGTAAACATAAATTAAAGTATCTGATTAATAAGGCTTCGTGTTTTGTGAGCGCGATTTCATCAAAAAGTTTCCTGGACTTACGGCTTTCTCTACGTTTTTGTTAGGCGCAATGTAATTTTTTTTCAACATTAAATCCCCCGGGCATTGCCATGACTGAGCCAGATGTAAATTGCGTTTGTCGATCTCGTATGTCGATTCAAAAGCATTTATTCTTTTTACAACAGTCGTTAAAACAATTTGTGATAAATTTAGTTGTGTCGTCAACTATTTCAAACAACAGTTTAAAATAGTTGTCGTTATAATAGTTAGTATGCGAACCATTTTACACTATTAGCAAAAATGTTTAAGGCATTAAGTTAATGTTTGAATCATAAAACTCGATGAGTTATGGAAATTATCGTGTGCCAACAAAAAACAGACAGAAAACCTTAGAGGAATAATATATAGAGATGAATTAACCGTGCAAAATTTTCGCACAGTATCGCGATCAGTCACCTATAATGCTATTTTTTTATGTGGGAAGATGGAAATCGAACTGATGGTTCACCTGATGTTAAGTAATAACCGCAGCCCATGAACGTTTGCAAAAAAAAGTGGGCTCCGGTGTCCTCACTCACCAGACGAAACCCAATAGTATAATAACACTTCCACTTCACGACCGTATGTGTGTAGCCGTACCACGGTTATGATATTGTAATGCCCAAATAAGTATTTATAAATTAAAGGTATCTTATTTTATAGATTCAAGAGTCTACAATCTACATTGCTATCTTTCATTTGTTTCATAAATAACGATGAAAATTATAGGATATGGAAAAAAAACTCCTTTGGGAAATAAAATATATAAATAAATTAAAAATATATATTATAGGAAATCAAAATCATGTTTAATTCATCAAATTCAACTGAAGCGGACAAGAATTTGTTTATTACTACTGAAATAGTTTTAGAAACGTATCTAATTTACAAGAAATAGGGGAAACTTTAGTAGTGAAAATCCAGCAAATTCGTTAACAACGGAACGAAGTTTAACATAAACTTTAATATAAATAATTCGATACTCTTTTTATTCTAGAATTAAGTTAAACTGTTCAGAAATTCACGACTATCCCCAATTTGCTTCGCGCTCAAAGGCGAACGTTTCTGAACTTCCAATAATTTAATAAAGAAACTTTATTGGAGTTAGGGAAGCGTGCGTGGCGGGCACGCTCGCCGCAAAAAGCCGAAAACTTTGATTCAATTAAAACGGAAAGTTGGACGAAGAAGTTACTGGCGCGGCCAAAAGCGTTCCGTGGTGACGGTGATATCGGGCGGGCGGCGCAGCGCAGCCAGCGCACCCGAGCACCCACTAAATCAAACGCTAAGCCTCATAACGAGAAGCCGTCGCTTACACTGAATACCCGGCGGCGTTACCTTTTGATTTAGGTAATTTATTTCTATTCCATTAAAATTTAGGAATGAATTTTAATGGATAATTCGCACTGGACAGATTTTATGAACAAAAAAGGCCGCCGGTCCGGTGGGAAGCGGCCGCGCGGCCTGCGAAAGCCGCCGGCACGGAATAAGGGGTGACGAGCGTTGTTATGCAAATTGAGGTCGTTATTTCGCTACGAGTGAGGAAAGAGCGCGGCGCCGTCGGCCGCCCTACTGCGCCCCGCGAACTTCACCGCCCGCGCACCGCGCCGCGGAAGACGCTTTGCATAATTGGTAATACAAGTGCCTACGTATACATAGCGAACGCGAGTTGCCAGTAACATCGTTGCTGCCGTCGGCATTCTTCTATTTTGTTGGTAAATATTCGTATCGAACGATTTATCTACAAACGTAACCGTTGCTAAAGCAAACAGTAACGCAGAGTATATTTCAAGCTGTGTCAAGTGATATTATTCACAGTAGTTACATTAAACACGAAATAGCTAAAAAAACACATAAAGCTATAAAAGTACCAATACCATTTAAATTATACGCTGAAAATGATTGTTTCTTCGTGTACTATTTCTATGCCGTTCACAAAATCAACAAATTTATGATTATGTAAAGATTACTTAGACAGTTAAAAAAAGTTAAAAAGACATAACATAACGTAGTTACTTTTATGTGTAAAAGACGCAAAATTTCATATATGCTCCCAGTTTTTTACCATTATTAAATTCTTCTTTCTCCTAACATTTTTCCGCCCAGATGTGGTCAGCATGACATATATTTATTAATTTTAATATTAAAATTCTGTAAAATATTTATACGTTTTAAATTGTAATTTTTTTGTAGATAAATGAACAAAAAACTTTCGGCATTGCGGGATTCAAACCTGTGTCTTCTGTTTCCGTGCTTAGTTAAATATCTGTATCGTGAAAAAAGTACAATGATAAACATAATAATTATGTTACTTAAACTGTGTAACTTCAATATAAAAAAAAAACAATGAAATTGTAAAATATCACTTACAGTTTTGCGCTTCAGTTGATATTTTCCTTATTGACTAGCGGCCATGGCAAAGTTATATCTCCGCTGCAAAAGTTTGTTGAATAGATCGCAATGAATTCTACTGAGAAATTTTAACAACTAGCTAAAGAAAGAGGAGTAAGGTAGCATATTGCACGCTTTGTAAATTTCTTTGTGGAATAATAAACGCGATATTACTAAGAAAGCATTATGGTTTGAAGTATTTTTATAAGCATAAATAAGTCATAAATCATATAGGAATCTCGTATAATCCCTAATAATATAAACATAAGTTAACTTAAATCCTTCAAAGTTTAAATTAAACATTTATTAACAATTAATTTCGACTCTCGATTCGATGTTGTGCAAAAGCTATAAAGGTGTAGGAATTATGCAACGGTATTACACACGAGAACCTCTCCCTCCATCTCTGTCATAGTTGGGTTAGAAGAGCCAAACTCCTAGTTAACCGATCGATATGGCACAGACGCGATTATCAACATACACATACCCCATACTCAGCGAAGAGGTTAGCTTCACCACCTGCAAATCTTACAGCGAAAGAGGACAAATTGACTGAGATATTTTTTGAGGCCCTTCAAGCAAAGGTAAAAAGTTTTTGTTTTAAATTTTGCTAGAGCGCCTCTCCCCGCTTAAACACAACACTTTTCGTGTGTGATGGAAG